GAGAAATGAGTCCTACACAATTTCATGATAGTGGAAGCAGATCAGATCAGCTGTGTCCGACAGCATTGAAGATCAAGAAGGATTCTCATTTCATCAGCAAGTCATCACCTTTGTTATCGTCGACGTCCTCGTCGTCCACCGTCAGCGTAGTGGGCTCTACCAAGCCACAGCAACACCGCCATCCGGTGATCATCTACACCCACTCTCCCAAGGTCATCCACACGCACCCTAGGGATTTCATGGCGCTGGTGCAGAAGCTCACCGGTCTATCAAGCAAGGATGCGGTGGAGCAAACATCGTCACAGAGAAAACCCGAAAACGCCAATTCTTCGCCAGAGGATGATGTTAAGAATTCCAAGAACAGCGGTAACGGTGATATTGAACCGTCCTTGGTGAGTACTAGGGATAATGAGAACTGTGATGGGCAAATGAATTCATGTTTTTTGCCTCCAATTTGCTTCGATACTCCTCCTCCTCCTCCAGGTTCTTTCTTAACAAACGCTCCGGCGGTGTTCATGCCAAACTCTGGAGATTTGTTATGCACGAAGACTTTTTATAATTACGGTGATTCATTCTATTTAGCACCAAATATGACGACGACACTTTCTTCATCTTCTACCTTGGATGACATGAACGCGTTTCCGAATTACTGAGTTCTTCTGTGCTTCTTTTTTTTTTTTTTTTCCTTAATAAATTTTGGAATAAGTTGTCTACAAATTTTTCTTTTTTTTTTTTAAGATAGAAATTTAATTTATTTTTTGTGCTGAATAACGGCTTTTCTTCGTGTCAGGAATAAAATTTTACTTTAGACTTTTGTTTCACTTTGCTTTTGCTTGAGTTTTTTCAACCATATTTAGTTTAAGGAACAGCTCTTGAAAAGAAGAATGAGTGAAAGGGAATTTATATAGGAACAAATTTGTTTTTAGTGGCAATGTTACTGAATTATCTACCGAGTAATGCATCTGATGAGTAATGGCTCTTGTCCTACAAATGTCTAAAGTCATCATAATTGAGCTAGCATTGAAAAGGCTTGGGGTGGTGGAGTCCTCAAATATGTGTAAACCTTTGGGCATAAGGTAGAATCAAGAGGCCATGGTATCTGCACTTGTTCATAATTTGCTTCTCGGTAAAAATGGACAATTTGCAGCAGCACTCCCTTTCCAAAGTAATTTTTTTGCTGTTTTAGGTGGTGGGTTGTTTTTTTGGTATTAACTTCTCTTTATCCGATAATCATATTAAATCCGATTAATTTGGAATCAAATCGTATCAAATCTTATAAGAGAAGAAACTCTCTTAATACTTGTTTCTCCATTCACATGACTTGAATTCAAGACCTTATTTAAAAGAAATTAAAGTC